AGAATCGGAGAAGACGTCGGGCGCACCACCTCGGGCCTTCAACTGTTCCTCTTGCAGACTTCCTGTGCCCCTTCGCCATCAAAAGGTTTTGGCGAAAAAGTGCGGAAAGGAAGTTTGCACATGAGGGTTGATCTACGCGATGGGAGGACTAAGCAAGCAAGTAGCTGCTACTTGACATGCTCAGGTTCTCAAAAAAGAGACAAGAGTTTTGTTGAATCAGCGATTGCAAGGCATGCATATGACGGCGTACGACCAGCGACGCCCCTTCTTTCCAGTGGGCCATTCCCACAGGGAAAGAGGAATTCAGATCAACTCTCAAGTATAACATTTGATTAAATATAGCTTGGAGGTGCAGAGCAGTCCCAGGCCTTTTTGCTGGCCTGGAGGCGAAAAGGTGTCCTTTTGCGGAACGGAAGGAATATAATGGAATGTGTGTATGAAGATGTGCACGGCAACAGCCTAAAAGTGTTTGTCACTGTTTTACCGCATGTACTTAGAATTCTGAAATCACTTGCTACCTGGTGTGGAGGACAACCCAACATATGAGAATGCTTCAGTCTATGCTTTTAAACATGTTTTGCGCCATGCCTGCAGTCTATGTTCATCGCATTCACAAAGGTGTTTTGTGCGATCAGAATTCCACACCAAAAATAGATCTTATGTATATGATATATATAATATTGTTTTGTATGCAGTTATATGCAGTTGCATTTTAGGGCGGAAATCCAACTGCACTGCAGATGTGGTACATACACATGAATATGATATGTAATTAATGTAGGACTCCATTCTCATGGCCTGGCTACAAGTCAAGAGGCGCAACCTGCTTAACGCCAATTCACTGCAGTGACGTTTTGAGCAACGCCACTAGCCTAGTTGCAGTGTTTCTGTGAATTGCGGTTTGTAGCTCGAAATTTGTTCGACTGTGAAGGATATTGCAGCTGAGCATGCTACCAGGTGCTTCAAGTAGCGCTGGCACTGGGCATTTCCCAATCAAAGAGGTCACTGCATGTCCACATATATTGGTGATTCCCTTCTGGTTTTCGCAAGGGGTTTGCATGGGTGCACGTGCCAGATGTCCTGGACGTGAAGTCTGGGCGTGGACACCTGAAGTGGACACCTCTTTGCGCATACTTCTATCCGAGAGACACCAAAACAGGAGGGGCTAGGCGCCATGGACTGGAGAGCGGATGATCACGTTATGGGTCTCGCTGCCTGGATTTGGTGAGGTTTCTTGTTGAACTTCTCACAGTCAAGAAGTGGCCTGCGTGTTTTAATTTTCGGGGATGTGATCTTTTAATACAAGTTCTTTCCATCTTCTGCCCAGTGTGGCGATTGATTTTGGGAGAGGTAATTGCACCCGCCATTTGCAGTTCAGCCCAGCCTGCGGCAGCTGAAGCCCTTGGAGCCCTAGCCCTTGGGGCCCTGGCCCTGGCCAGGTGCTGTTCCACGCAGCACTAGCGGCCGCATGGCAGCTTCAGAGACCACTTTTGAGCAACCATGGCATGCATCAGAAGGTTGTTGATCTATTCATGTCCATGTAAAGGTTGGTACCGAAGGGTCATCATGTTCCAATTGGCCCCACGTGACAACAAGGGATGGCCAAGGCCTTGACCCACAATCATTCGGACTGTTCGCCAATCAGTGGGGGAAGCCCTTGCGCGTGGAGAATGAGCGGAAAGAAGAGCACCAGGAACCAATCCAAATGGACGACGACGAAGATGTGTCAACATCTCAAACTTGTTGATGCCGTAGCCTTTGCTAGTGGCATTATATAAGAGGGACTTCAACTGGAATACCTGGATGACTTAACCCTCCCTAAATTAACAGATCTTAAGAGATAGGCAACGATTGCGGTGACAGCTTTGCCCTCGAGACCGAGAAAGGAGCAATCACCGCCACCAAGGCCCAAGAGAACGCGACCTGCGTGGATTTGCTCTCTTTGCCACCGGAAGACGAGCCGGAACAACAGCACATGGGGAGACGGTCGAACCAGGTGGACTATGGTGGACTAAGAGTGTTCAAACAACTCAAACTCATGGGAGCTTCCAAGGTTGGGTGAAGAGCGTCGCGCTGAACACAGGGAACCTCGGTTCGTAGAACAAGACACGATTTGAAGACCAACTTGAAGAGAGTGTTTGCAAATTCTGTGTGCTTGATCAACTCCCTTGCCCCACAATGATGCCACAAGATCATGCTTAGCGCCCAACGGCTGTTGGAAGAGAAATCCGTTGGGCCCAAGCAGTGGATAACATGGATCACTTGTGCGCAGCCTGAAACGACATGCCTCCACCAAGCTCCAATGCTGCTTCAGGTCCAACCGGTGCTATCGCGGCGATTGCACATGTCAAGTCTCAGTCGAAGAGGCTGTCGCCTCAGGATTTCTAGGATCTTCTCCCAGGACCATCCGTTCAGGGTGCCCGATGGACGTCCAGTGTATATGAGGATGTGCAGGTAGTCCATTGGACATCCTGAACGGATTGTCCTGGCATGATGAGTCGGTTGCCGGCGTTCAAAACCCACTGAGTCAGCATCCCACAAGCTGGGATTTAAAAACAGCGGATCGAAGGGACTTGCTTTTTGCTTATAGTTACAGTTGCTTATTTAAATTTTGTAGTGACATGTTGTCACCGCTCCCTGCTCCAGATCCCCAAAACTGAGAAATCCATGCACAAGATTCCCCATTGCAAATCTGTCGCCTGTTCGCAGCAGCGTCACTGCTCAGCGTCCTTCGGCACCCGCTAACCAAGGTGCTTTGGCTGGTGCTCAAGCCCGCAGACGATGGCTCCGCCGGACTCGAGCCGCGGACTTCGACCAACAAAGAGAGAGAGAGAGAAGAGTTTCTATGGAAACCAGCCCACTGGTGAGAGTGCGGAATAGTGTCCAAATGTGTCCAATCAGTGGGATGGTTTCCGAGGATTTTGGGGACTGGAAGTGTTCTGTTTGGATGGCCCAATTAGAATGCACATGAAGAAAGCAAAAGCCAGAAGATCAGCCAACAGCAGCGGTCAGCGGGAATAGCTTGTTGTATCTTGTTTTGTTGTTTCTGGATACTTGTGTGAACATCATGAAACCATATGAAGCCAATCAGCGATGACTACATCCACGGAGAATCATGCTTGCTCCTGAACCAGTTGGCTCGGAAGAGCTTTTGAGAGCCCATGAACGCCCAGATGTGAAAAAGCTCTTCCCCTGCCGCCGACGCCGACGGGGTGTGGCAGAGTACCCAAGGCACAGCGCCAGATCCTTGACCCCGACCTTGGGGCAATGGATCGATCAAGCCTTTGCCTTCCTAGAAGGCCCAGCCCGGTTCGGACTCTTGGAAGCGACCGTCGGCACATTTGGTGGACCATACGCTATATATGCGAATATGATAGTATGCTGGCGCCTAAATGGCGTTTGATGTATTTGTCACCAGATCATGAATAGCTTTGACGACCTGTGTTGCTTGGGGCCCCTGTTGGACCAGCTCGGTGATTCCAGTAATCCAGAGAGGCGAGGTCGTTAAGTGCCACTAAGTCAAATCAACAGGTTGGCTGCTCGTGGCTACTTGCTGATGTGGCGAATCCATCGTTTCTGGACAGAAAAGCAACGCCACATCGCGTCTCCCACCAAACGATCCAGGAGTGCAATGGTAGCAAGTTGCAAGTGACGCTGCACCCACAGCGCCCGCAGGTCAGGAGCCCTTAGATGCAAGTGGCAACCTCAGAGTCAATCGAGGCTTTGAGGTTGTTAGCAGATTGAATTGCAGGCATCCTGAGCCGTCCTTACGTAGCCCTTGCGCATGGATCAGGAATCATCAGGAAGAACCGAAACCTACATCTATATATGTTCGGGCATTATCGTATCCGATGTTGAATGCAAGTGGTGCCAAGTTCAGCCGAATCCACAGTCCTCAAATCAGAGGCCAACGGAAGGGTAGTGCACAGAACGAGTTTTGCAAAAACCTATTCTACCAACATCATGGAAGGTCCAGGACATTCGTGGAACCCGGGGCTATTCGTGGACGTTTCGTGGAATGGTGGCCAGCAGGAAAACTGACAACAAAACCCAGAAAAATCCTCTGAACTGTGTGGAAGGTATTTTTGATGCACTAACTTCGTATAAGCAATTTTTGCTGACCCCCTTTCTCCGCACACCCTCCATTTAGCCTTCATCAAAATCCACCTTCATGCATCCAGAACCTCCAAGATTTCCTCTGTCTCCGACCCGCCCCACCGGGTCACCACCAACGAGGCTTTCGGGCGCTTTGGGTCCCGCTGGCCGCTGCCCACAGGGAGCTGCAGGGCCTTTGTCCCCTGGCTGCAGAGCTGGTAGCGCTGCTGTGGCACGGGGCCCCATACGGCGGCTGCAGTGGGACGGGTAGTAGAGAAGAATGCAACAAAGATTGAATAAATTAAGTTAATTGTATGAATTGGTTGAAGATGTCCCAATGATTGCCCATGCTTGAGTTTTGACAGTTTGCCTCAGTTTGTTAAAATGTCGGCAGGTCAGCAAATCATTGGAAACACATGGAATCGCGGAGACTTTAGGCGCCAAATTTTGACAGGCCTGCCTCCACATAAGTAGGAGTACGAGTGCTCATGACTGAATATTTTGTCACCGATAGCCTGTCGTTTTCCAGCAAGTGGCTTGCGATGTGATTTTAACATCAGGTGGCTCCTGTCTTCGCTCTCTGCATGTCTCTCGGCCAGCTTGAGGGTGGACACTGTTGCCATATCGCTGTCACTGTTTTTGCATGTGCCCAGATCGGGAGCCTTTGCCCCGAAATGTAATGGAAATTGATGGTCTTGGCAGATTCTCCTGCATGTGCGGAGCCCCTCCGTTTGCACGCTGTTTGATGTCCAGTGTAGCTATCACAGCATTCAAATGCATTCAATATGGAATGACGTTTGATTAGCAACAGGCATGGGCCATCGGACAACTACTGTAAGTCAAAAACAGTGAAGCAGCAGCAGTAAAGGGACTATGACTATGATGAACAAGCTTAGGATATTCTAATGATGAGGCAGTCGAAACATGGCGTTTGCCTTTTGGCTTTGGTCGCGCTGGATGCCTTCCCCCTACAGGATAATGCTGGCTTCGTGACCAGAGTTGAGAACGTGTTAGCTCATGAAGCTCTTCGTCAGCGAGTTCAACTGAGTGCCAAGCCACCTTCAAAAGAGCACCTATCAGGTGGTGAATTCAACCAGCAAGTCACTGGTTCAGCTTCTGTCTCAGAAATGCTACAAGTATTGCACACTGAGCGCTACAACCCCAACTACAATTTGATCATAGTATCAGCGGCCTGGCACACCATGGCACGCTTGCAGCATTCGATCACCCGACAGGTGGTTGCAGACCCCTACTTTGACGAATTCATGCAAGATACCCTCCAGATCCTGAAGCGGTCATTGGTACAAGATCCTGGCTGCTGGTCGCGTCAGAGTGCAAACCTGTTTTGGGCAAGTGCAAAGCTCTCACGTCAAAGCGTGGTGAAGAGGCACTTGGCAAAAGTGCAAGCGGATTTCAGTGAGGCCGCTGCATGCACTGCCTTCAACATGGACGAACAGGGTGTAGCAAATGTCATTTGGGCGTGCTCTGAGCTGAACTTGCCTAGAGCAACGTTGCGTAAAATCATGGATGCAGTCACATACAGACTGAGAGATGTAGCAGAAGAGCTTAAACCACAAGGAACTTCAAACATTTTGTTGGCTGCAGTCAGATTGGGAAAGGAGGCGCCACAGCTGTTGGATGAAATGGAGCTGCTTGCAGAGGTGTTGCCTGACAAGATTGCGGCCATGGATGCGCAGGCAGTGGCCAACAGTATTTGGGCCACAACCAGGCTTGAAAGACAAGCTGGAGGGGCAGCCTTGCTAACTGTGCTTCCTGATTTGGTGAGGCGGGCTGAAGTTGTGGTTGGCAACATGAACGGGCAAAATGTAGCCAACATCATTTGGTCAGCAGCCAAGCTCCGAAACAGACCCCCGGAGCTTTTGGAGCTGATGCCCAGATTGACAAATCGCGGGGGTAAGATCATTGGCCAGCTTGACTCTCAGAATGTTGCCAACATATTCTGGGCAACTTCCAAATTGCAGGAAGAGGCTCCCAGTCTACAGTACTTTTTGCCCAACATGACTAGGAGAGCAGAAGCAGTGATTACACAGATGGATGTAGAGGGTTCAGCCAGCACCATTTTGGCTGTGGGACAGCTTCAAAGTGATGATAAGCTGTTTCTGCGGAATTTGCTGCCGGGGCTGACTCAGCGGATGTTCTTCATTTTGCAGCACTCGCCACCACGAGAAATGTCCAACGCTTGCTGGGGCCTCGCGCTATCGGGGCACGCTGACTACTTGATCATTGCCCAGTTCAATTTTCCATGTTCTTGCTTTGTCAAAGTATATGTTTTGTCTCTATATACCTATCCAGGTGGATCTGGAGCTCTATGTGTGCAGTATAAATATATACCAATCTCTCTATCTATATGTATTATATGTATATATTACAATATATATATATATATATCAATGTGTCCATGATACAGTCTACATAGAATACAGCAGTATCAGCAGTACGTTTTCATACATCAGGTCAACAGTTGCCATGATAGTCCAACCTATCGAGAAGCAATGTCCAAATTGACAAGGACATTGACTTTATGAATTCAGTGGCGGCCGAACTTGTGGCAAGAGCTGACCAGATGAAGCCAAAGTCGGTGGAATATGACATGCCGCAGATCCTTATTTCTTTTGCGAGGCTTGGCATTCCAGGCCTTGAGGGATTGGCCTTTCATGGTCTTTTGAGTCGTATGACATATGACTTCGATACATCATCATCATTTATGTACTGAAAAGCTTATACAGGTGTTCGACAGACACCACATAAATATCTCACGGAAGCTTGCCAGATGAGCACTGGTGCCATGTGATGCATGTGCCAGGGCCTCCAGATTTTCTGGATATTGTCCACAGGAAACAGCGGCCGATGCTGAAGAGGATGAATGCCTGGGGCCTTTGTGCACTCTCGTGGTCCTGCAAGTGGCTTGTCTTGCACTTCACATCACTTCACTGACTAGACAAGACCCTCCTGGGCTCTTTGTTGCAATCAGCACATGCCGCACTGTCCCGATTTACTTGCGGCAGTCCACAAGCTATCTAAGGCGGCTGGATGATTCTGGCAAGCGCCTTGGCCGCACGGGTCTAGGAAACGTAGCTGCTTTGTTCATCATTTCTCCCTGGCGCTGCCCTTGCATAATTTCAGGTTCCGTGACTTCTGCACCATGGTGAATCAGCAAGTGGCCACACGTGGCTTCTCCCAACAGGAGGTGGAATACAGTCGCTTTGGTCCTGAGAAGTGGTCACAACGACCACGGAAGAAGCGCTCCAAGTAGGTCACCCGCTGGCCAAGCTCGCTAGGTGCAGGTTGACATGCTCAGGGTTGATGTTTGCTTGTTTTTGCTCATTAGGCTCATGACTTGGCGTTTGCCACTTATTTTTTGGAGGGTGAGTGCTAAAAAGCTTCTTCATGTCGCGCTGCTGTTCTTTTTGTGCCGTAGAGTAGACGTTTATACGCATGTTAATATATGCAAACATTGTTTGTTTGGGATCCTTTGGCTGCAGACTCCGCTGAGTGCAGCATCCGAGTGCACACCTTCTCAGGGTGTTTGCTGCACCTTTTGCTGGCACCCGGAGTTTGCGTTCGCCACAGCAGGGTCCAGACAACAAGTCTTGAGGTCGCTGAGATTCAAAGGGCGACCAACTCACGGGCATCGAGTCATCGGGGAGTGTGTTGTGATGATTTCCCTTGAGTACACAAATGCAAACGTGACGTTTGAGACTATGAAGCAGTGATTTTGGAGCTATTGTGCGAATTTATATCGGTCGGCCCGGCCTATTCAGAATTTTGAGCGGTGTGACCTCCCGAAGAAAACGACTAAAGGCTTGACCGTTGAACCAGCCTAGCTTCAGCACATGAGAGGAAAAGGGTTCTGCACTGCGCACATGGATGGATGATCAGCTGGTTAACGCGTTCTAGCTTGCCGGGCAAGCCCATCAGATAGTTTCCCATAACAGCTTAACGGCCGGAGGACCATAATATGTGCAACAGGATGTCACACGACGGCCAGGCCTCTTCAGCACGGAACTTCCGGAGGCCAGGCATGCCTGGCCCCACTGGACAGGTAGCTTCAGCGATGTGTTCTGTTGCAAATCAACGTGCCGATTTTTGAAGACTGAACACGAACGCCATGTCATGGGATTTTGAGCGATTGGCTCAGATTGGCCTGGATGCATCTCCCCTTCTTGGAGTTCTCCCCCTATAATTGTCCACCAAGCACGCAGAAAAACATTTTCCACTGCTGCGATCGGTTTCTAGGTGGAACCATTGGAAAAATCGTCCACTCGGATTGGTCAAGGACGCTACTAGGGCCTCCTGGCCTTACTACTAGGAACAAGAAGCTACTAGGGGCTTCTGGCATCGCTACTAGGAGCAAGGACGCTACTAGGGGCTCCTGGCATCGCTACTAGGAGCAAGGACGCTACTAGGGGCTCCTGGCATCGCTACTAGGAGCAAGGACGCTACTAGGGGCTTCTGGCATCGCTACTAGGAGCAAGGACTCTACTAGGGGCTCCTGGCATCGCTACTAGGGGCTCCTGGCATCACTACTAGGAGCAAGGACGCTACTAGGGGCTCCTGGCATCGCTACTAGGAGCAAGGATGCTACTAGGGGCTTCTGGCATGGCTACTAGGAGCAAGGACGCTACTAGGGGCTGGGTAGCTCCCCCCGAGTCCTTGGACCTGGCCTCGGAACGCGCTGGCGCGGTGCAGCGCCACTTGGACTGGGACGGAGTGAAATGAATCCGGTGGACCAATGAAGGGATACGGATTTGAACAGGTTGAATTAGCAGACTCCCGGACTCGCAGGTTCTCATTCATGGACTATAGAGGTCGTTGGTCATGCTCTCCGTATTCAGAGGGAGGGTTGGACACATTGACACCCCATTCCTGAGTCATTTTTCTTCTTATTTCAATCACAATTTCAATTCCAGAACATGCACCCTTCAAGTAGGTGAAGCTCCCGGCGGCACCAATCCCAAAGAACTACTTCTGGCAAGCCCCCATCTATGACACAAGTTGTGATTCCATCCTAAGAGTCTTGAGAGAAGGTACACATGGCGGTAGTATACGCTTTTGGCCTCAGGTGTGTAGTAGGCTAGAACCTCGATATTTGGGATACCGGATGGAGCCTGAGCATTTCAAGTTGAACAAGATTGATTTGATCAAAGAGGCGTGATTTATGTACAGCTTAGTTGTGGGCTGGTATAACTGGGACAGATCATACGAGGAATCGACACCCAGTCTTTTGATTTTGGGCTACGAATTAAAGGTTGCCGGGAAGCTACAGGGTTAGACATCGGAATGAGAAGCAGCATCATAACATCCAACCACTTGGTTTTTACTTGTTCTAGTGAGCAGGAGTGCTTGGGTGGATCTGCCTTGTGACGAGGGCGTTCCGAACTGCATCGCCAAGGCTCCTTGCCCAAGAGCTGCGAAGACTGGCAAGATGTACAAGATCGCTTCGCGTCGTGAACTTGGACTCGTTAGATTTACAGATGTGCCATCAGACCTCCGCTCGGACGTGTTTTGCACAAACAGTGGAAAATAGAGCCACAAAAGCAAGAAATTATGCCCGTCGTGGCAACCTAGGGAAAACTGCCGGCTGCACCCAGGCGTTCGCTGGTGGCCGATGCGGAGGGCAGTGTCTGGTCCAGGACCGGGCTGGTTTCGCCGGTTGTCAACAGTCTTTCGGAAAAAGACAGGGCCGATATCCACGCAGTCCTTAGGGTAAACCTTGTTTGTTTTGATTGCTAATGTTCTTGGATCTTAGTTGCACAATGAGTTCAAGTGTTGCCGATAGCTTTAAGATGTAGTTCAACTGCTGCTTCTTGGATGAGTGTATCATCCGTGAATGCCCAGTGCACCAGCTTGGTGCGACAGGCCCTTCTGGCAGCCCATGGGCAACACTGAGCCCTTACGAGATGCGGCCAGGACACTGAGAAGAAGTGGACGATTTAAGACAAGTGATAGCAACCGAATGCAATCATCTCAACAAACTTGCAAGCAAAAACATGTGAAACACAACAATGCCCAAAGGAAAAACACTGCACACATAAATATGTTCATTGATGTTGATTGAACATTTTGACATGTTTTTGTGTGCTGATCAAAACCTGAGCATTCACCATGTGCCACGTTCAAGTTGTGCATTGTCTTTGGCAGGGGAAATGATGGGAAATGGATGGAAATGTTTTGATTCGGTTGCTATCACTTGTCTTAAATTGCACAGTTGCTCCCTTGTGTTGATATTAAAGTTGGCTTTAATTCTTTTGAGATGTTTTGAGTGAATTCTTCTTCTTCAAAAAGAGTTAACAGAAACTAGTCCTGCATAGGGTTTGCCTACATGGAGCCTATAGCCACTATAGTGCTATACCCTAAATGGCTCATTATAGTGTGATAGTCCCATGCAGGCTCCCATGGCTTTAGACTTATAGTGCGTATAGTGGACACAACCACAGCAAGATGTTGGTTGAGCATTCCATAAACATGACCATTTTCGGATCAAAATGATCACCGGCTCATGGAAAGCCATTCCATAAAGAGAAAAAAGGCGTTTGCGGATTTTCATTGTTTTTGCTCTTGTATGTTGTCTCGCCATTATATGGTGCCCCGCCCCCGGGGATAAAGACCAGTCACAACCTTGGATGGTTCCGTAGTGTTTGGCTCTAGCTCCGGTTGATGACCTGTCGAGGGTGTCATAACCGGTTGCGCTTGCCGGTAGGCACTTCGGGGGCATTGCAATCCCTGCTATCTCGCTGAGCGGATTCAGCGAGTTGTGTTGACCCGCTATCCTCCCGCCAAAGCTGAGGAACTCACCCACTATTTGGCCAAGGTCTTGAACACCCTTGAGGCGGATACAGAGGCCTTTGAGAGTGACCGGACCTCGGGTGTCGTGGACATTGAGGGTTATTTGGTGGAGGTGAGGAAGGTTGAGAAGACCAAGCTACCACCAAAGTTGGCCGCGGGGGTTCACCCTGGTGAGCGAGATCCTCGTGCATCATCCGCAAGCGGGGCAAAGAAGGACAAGGAGCCTGAAGTCAACAGCACTCCTGACAATCCTTCGAAGCATCGACGTCGAAGGCGGGAGGACAAGACAAGGTCGAGGAGCAGAAGCAGGAGACGGGAACGCAAAAAGGTAAAGAAGGAACCTACCCCTGAGCCAGAGGAGGAGGTAGCAACAGAAGAAGAGGCTGAAGTAGAGGAAGCCGAGGCAGAAGCAGAGGTTGAGACAGACGAGAAGGACGAAGAGGTTATCGAGTCACCTCGCAACGACGAGGCCAGCCCTGACATGGAGGTTGCCCGTGACCCGGAGGGAGCAGGACTTCGAAAGGTCCCACCGAAGCCCTCAGCAAGGAAACCCTTGCCGAGGAGACCTCGTACAACATGAGGCCCCCCCTAGTTAAAACACTTGTAACTTACTTGGTGAGGTTACAAATTACTTAAAACTAAGTTAGCTGGAGGGCTTCGTAAGTAAGATGTAACTTAAATGTAACTATTTTTAAGTTCTATAAGTTCTAATTGGTGATTTTTGATGTTCAAAAACTATGTTTTTTCAGGTTTCCGAGTAGCAAGGCCCAAATCGAAGGACATCGAAAAACTATGCTTTTTACCTGGGAAAGCGCTGCTGTTGCAAGGGTTTTTTAATGTAGAACACTCACCACGCCGCTTTGCTGAAGAAAAGCAAAAAGCCCCAAAAAAACAAAATATGCGTTTCGAATTTCTTCGGTGGACAACCACCGCGCTAAAAGAAAAACACTTTCTACTTTAAACCATCAAAACGCATGAGAAAAACAGAACACGCACAATGACCTACATCTGTGTGTTAGGAACACGCTGGGCGGTGGTCCGTCCAAAAAATTGAAGGCGGTGGTCCGTCCAAAAAATTGAAGGAGGTGGTCCGTCCAAAAAAGTTGATGGCGGTGGTCCATCCAAAAACTTTGATGGCGGTGGTCCGTCCAAAAAGTTGTGGCCGGTGCCCCAAAAACGCGGTGCGCCCTGATGAACAAGAGGCTATATGTACAGTAGATGTACGGTAATGTACGGTAGATGTACGGTAATGTACGGTAGATGTACGGTAATGTACGGTAGATGTACGGGAATGTACGGTAATGTACGGTAGATGTATGGTAGATCTGCCGTACATCTACCGTACATTACCGTACATTCCCGTACATCTACCATACATTACCGTACATCTACTGTACATTTAGCCTCTTGTTCATCAGGTTACATCAGATCTTTTGAGGGACTGTGTGTGTGTGCGTCTTGCGATGCGTCACGGACAGGCAAGGATCTACTCCTCAATTTTGGGGCGTGATCCAGCTTAATGGCTTCTAGTTGTTCCATGGCCTACATGATGGATTCGTTACACTATATTCTACTACGTGTGCGTGTTGCATGTTTACGTGTTTCTGTGTGCAAAGTACTACTCTGTCGTACGGGTGGACCACCACCCCACAAATTATTCACGACTAAAACATAAAAAACAATCGCGCCCATAAAAACGGAAAAAATGTTTCCAAAACAACAAAAAATACAAAGATTGGCTAATCAGTCTCAATTCTACACAAAAAAGAAGAGTACACCAAAAAACACTAAAAAACGCTTCTCTGCAAACCCGTCCACAAAAAAACATAGTTTTTTCAATGCAAAAACCTAAGTTCCCTAAGTAAGTTGTAAGTGATTTAGCACTAATTTAGCGCCCTCCAACATAAACTAGGATAACTTACTTATATATATCGAAAGTAATTTGTAACTGCAACGTAAATACCACCAAGAACTTAGAACACTTCACAATCTTAGACCAGCTTACAACATCAGTTAACCCATGTTATGACATATGTTACGGCACTTTACAAG